GGTCAACTCAAAGGTCATCTGCCATATATGGACTATTCTTCCTTACTTTTGAGCCACAACCCCTACCGCACTATATACAAACCAGCCTAATCAAACTGTGTACCTGGTCAGCTTTTACAGTACACAGTGCTTGTGGAGGAACTCTGTATGTGCGTGTACATGTCATTCATCGTACGTGTACTCAGTACATTATCTAGATGGGGTACTACTGACTATTCTGTATGCTATTTTATCATTCATGTCCAGGTACATTTCCGTACCATGACATAATGATATATTATCGTGGTGAGCAGTGCAATAATTATAGGAGTTCTTCTAATTTCCACCTTTTTCTTTTTTCTTTTTATCTGTCCCCCTCCATGCAGCGATGAGAATTACATGTCGTTCGTGGAGATGAAGAAACATCTTTCATCGAGTGTTCACCTCCAACACTACGTGATTAACATCATCCGCTTCTATGACCAATTGATGGTGTCCAGCTTAGTAGTCATGCTGGAAGCTCACAATGAGCTTCAATTAATTGAATAAAAAAATTGAAAAGAAACATATCTTTGTTGACTGCTTGTGCAGAAGGGGATGTGATGTGTACTCGGCATTCAATCATTTTCCCAGTCAAAAGGTTGAATTTGATGAAGTCTGATATGATCGACGTATTGAGTAGCTGCATGTTCGTTAAACAGAGTAACGTCGATCATATCAGATCATGTACATTTCCGTACCATGACATAATGATATAATTATCGTGGTGAGCAGTGCAATAATTATAGGAGTTCTTCTAATTTACACCTTTTTCTTTTTTCTTTTTATCTGTCCCCCTCCAGGCAGCGATGAGAATTACATGTCGTTCGTGGAAATGAAGAAACATCTTTCATCGAGTGTTCACCTCCAACACTACGTGATTAACATCATCGGCTTCTATGGCCAATTGATGGTGTCCAGCTTAGTAGTCATGCTGGAAGCTCACAATGAGCTTCAATTAATTGAATAAAAAAATTGAAAAGAAACATATCTTTGTTGACTGTTTGATGGTGGGAGAATGGACAGGGCCATGGCGTTATCTCTTTCCTTGCTTTCCTTGTTTTGTGGTGTATGCGTGTGTGTGTGCGTCTGTGTGTGTGTGTGTGTGTGTGTGCGTGTTGTGGTGGTGGTGGTGGGGGGGAGCGCGAAGAAGGCCATGGAGGCTCTCCACTGCAAGCGCACACTCCCATCTGTAAGTCTGCTTGTGGTCCTCTTTCGCAGTGTGTACCCAACCGGCCCAATGCATGCAGACGAAGTCTGAGTCGGTGAAACATGTTCCACGTGTGCTGTATTTTTTGATGGTATCTATAAGTAATCAGATGGTGAGCCAAGGAATAATTGTAACATGGAAAACTGTAAAAGTGTCCAGTGTTTAGTCAAGGTACTTCCTCTGAGACTTTTCATCATTCTTTGTCCTGTTTTGTTCTTTTCGGGTGCAGATGACACACCCAATGCAGGTTAAGCCGCCTCATACTCCTGAACGGAATCGAGGTAAGGATCATTCCAATTTTTGCTTTCTCCCTTTCAGGTGGGTGTGCATGCGTGTTCACATGGATTCTGTCATAGAAGCAGATGCACGCTGTTGGGGTTTTAAAAATATCTTTAAATTAAAATATCTGCCAACACAAGGGGAACATCCCTACCCGATCCCCCTTTGGTGTGTCCATGCTGTGAAGGGGATTCCCCTTTGGTGCGTCCATGCTATGAATGGGATTCCCCTTTGGTGCGTCCATGGAGCTAAGAAGGCGAGACATTTGGCTCTGGTCGGCTGAGCTTAATGAGCCCCACCACCACACTCCATTATTCACCCCAGTGTCTGGAGATATGTTGATTCCGTAGAGAACAAAAAAGAAGAAAAATAAACGAGAACTGAGGAAGAGATTCCAAGAACAGAGAATCAGTGCGCATGCTCTGCTGGTATGCGTACAGAAAATGGGTAGAAGGGAATGGAACATAATATGCACATGGAAAGCGGGATCCTTGTATGGATACACCACTCCTCTTCTTAGATAAGAAATACATTTTATCGAACAAAACAAAAGCACGTTAATGATAGATTGCAGAACGAACAGAATACACAAGACAACAGGAACAGAAGCAGAAAGAGAACGCAAAGGAAAAAATCAGAATGATGTTAACTTAAACTGACACACGAATCAATCGTACGATTGTGCACTTGTTGAAATGATGTAGAATTGAACATTCTGCTTTACATGGTTGTGGCGGGAACGACGGCCGAGTCATTGAGCAGGAGCGGGTGCTGCAGGCGACGGGGCAGGCAACACTCTGAGATGGAGAAATCGGCGGCTGCGCCAGTAGATCCGGCCGCTAAGGCCACACCAAGTTATTTCATTGTTTCTCGTCACCTGAAAATCTCAAAAGGAACGCGGGCGGGCGGAAAAAAAACAAAATAGGGTTTGAAAAACAAAAACTGCTATTTACACTACAAAGGCCCAATTTATGACCTAAAATCAGACTATACACCACGCGTGACAGTCAATTGCAACATACAGCCAGAAAACCAGGCTCCTGCACCGGCCTCTGGTGAGGAAGTCCAGTGTTGCATGTTATTTAAATAGGAAAGAAAGCAAACCAAAGTTATTATACAAGGGGTGCTTGTAGTCCGCAATGCCGCAAGTTTACCGATGCCCGGAACACTATTTTGTAGACATCCTTAGCAAAAGTACGATAACGCTAACTTTTACGGTACTCACTCCCAGCCGTGACAAAAGACGTTATCGGATAACGGAAAAAACGTTACAGAGCTCAAAATAACGGGCCGACGTTCGTTATGGAAATTCTGCAAAAAATGCAAAAACTCGCATTGTTTTGTAACTGGCGGGAGATAAAAAGCACGTCGTGCAGATCGAGATGAGATCGAGAGTCGAGATTGCTTCCTCTTGTGACATTAAATTTTAGCTTTTTGGCGAGTTTTGCCTTTCAGTTGACAATTTCTGCGTCCTCTGCTTCGTGCCTTTCTCCCTCTATCTCATCTGGGAAACAAAGGACCAGTTCCACGGCACTCCTGAGGAAGAAATTCATCGGCCTCTCCCAGACGTGCTGGAGCTGGAGAACCCTTACAGTCTTCGGTGCTGCGTTTAGGAAAGGGTTTCCAAGGACCTGGGAACAGCGAAAACTCATGTTCGCCGTGCTTTTGCTATTCCAGAGTAAAGGACCTCGCCAAGGTATTCTTTCGGAACGACAGCAAACTAATCCCTGGTTCAAAATTTTGAATTTCCCGCATCTGTTTCCACGAAAATTCATATCGCCATGGTTGTCACGACTACTTCGTCTCAACTATAACGTACTTTGTGCTAAGGGAAAAGTCAGCTTGAACGATCCGAAGTACGGAAAGGTTTGCGTTTACGTTAGCGTTTTTTTAGCTAAGGATATCTACTGTCAGTCCAAAACGGTGCACTGTCATGCACTGTCTTGACTTGTACCGGAACTGTGTGTAGCAAAGAAGACGACCAGGTCGTGTGGTGGTGTGGTACTTGAACTACCGGTATGCGTACATACACGGTGCAAAAGTCGTCCTTCGGTTCGTGCACTAGCACTGCACTCCAGATTTGACGCCGCGCGTACTTTTACAACGCCTTTTTATGCGTGTTTACCGGGACGCGAGATTTTTTTTGGTCCAATCCTCAAGAAAGGTACGCGCGCGGTGACGAGAAACAATGAAAAAACTTGGTGTGGCCTAAGCAGCTTCACTTGACAATCCCGGTGTTGGCCTATATCGGCGGTAGTTCCAAATGCTGACCATAGCTTGGTTCGCGGGTGCTAGATATCAACTAGAGTGCACAAATACAAAGGAGGCAAGGCGTCAAGGGGGCTGCAGAGTCACTGAGTGGCAAAAGAGAGTTTTGAGTTTGAAAGTACAAAGTGGAGTTTTCATCAGAATACAAGAAGTTGGACGAGGCTGCAAAGAAAAGGTACGACGAAAAGCTAAATTTGATCGCGAAGGGAGCGAAAGACCCGCACTGCGTCAGTGGCCATCAAGGCGATCATTTGTCAGCCTTGCTTCCTCTAGTCGAATATCCGGACTTGTACAATTACTTAACTACAGCCCCTAGCCCGGTAATGAAGGAAGAACTGAAGGCTACCAGTGTCTGCTCTAGGATTGTAGGACAGCCGAGTACACGTGTACCTGGCGCAACCATTTCAACCGGGTCGGAGCCGGGTACACATGGACCTGGCGCTGCCTCACCAGCCGAGTCCCATGCTTTAACTGGTTGGTTGGTTTATTTTAATTCGGACAATAAACGGGAACTAGGCCCAATGGTATAAAGGCGAATGGATAAGCCGCACTTAGAAAAGAGAGGACAGGAATTAGAAAATTACGAAAGAAGAAGTATATGACATATACAAGCCATGTAGTCAGTCCTTTCAATCGGGTCCAAGCGCCGCCCAACCGGGTGGATTACCCGGCTCACCCGGCGCTGGAGCAGACACTGTAGAAGTCTCGACGGTCACAAGTTCTTGGTGGTAGGGTGGCTGGGAGATGTGAGTGCGTACGAGGCGACATCGGATCGTGAAAAGAGAGTTGTGAAAGCAAAGGTGAGACACTCCCAGTCAGTCAGCAGCGACCCTCTTACACCGTGGATAGCTGCAGAACACAATGGCGCTATTATTTGCGCCCACTGCACCTGCATAGCGAGGCTGGGTGAAGCATGCGCCCACACCGCTGCTTTATTGTTTGCCTTGGAATCCCACACTAAATTTGTGTCTGACAACATCTGCACATCAAAGGGATGTGTGTTGTTGCCACCGTCCATAAAGTCAGTTGACTAAAAGAGAATAGCTGATATGGATTTCACCTCCCCCAGCAAAAAGTCAAAGACATCCAAATTGTCTGCTGCTTTACCCAGCCCAACATCTCCTCCTGCTATTTCGGCCAGTGCACCAACAACGTCAGAACTGGATGGATTTTACAGCAAATTGTCTGAGGTGGCAATGCCAGCCCTGTTGTCCATCGTGCCAAATTACTCAGATGCATGTGCTTCAAAGCTACCATCTGATATTCCTGCACCACTGTCCAACTTGTATGAGGAGTCAATGGTCTCAGCCAATTACAGTGACTTGCTTGACCGATGTGATGCAGTGTTCTCGACAATTTCTGTGACACCAGATGAGTGCATGGCAATGAAACGAGCAACTCGCGAGCAAGCAAAGTCAGACTTGTGGTTTATGTGCCGTGCGGGTCGCATCACTGCCTCAAAGTTTAAAGCCACTTCCCACAGTGACGCCCATCAACCTTCTGTATCTCTGGTGAAGGCAATTTGCTACCCACAGAGTATGAAGTTTCCATCCAAAGCAACAACATGGGGATGTGAACATGAGCAAATTGCCAGGGATGCCTACAAGGTACATGTGATCAAGAAGCATAAGGCATTTCAGCTTTGTGACCGTGGTCTTGTGGTCCGTAGCGACTATCCTTACCTCGGTGCCAGCCCAGATGGTGTTGTGTCTTGTGCTTGCTGTGGCAACGGTGTGGTGGAGGTTAAGTGTCCCTACAGCTGCTGTGACAGTTCCTTCGACGATGCAACCGAGAAGTCGGGCTTCTGCCTTGGTCGAAATGCTGATGGTTCTTTCTTTGTGAAGAAAGATCATGCATACTATTATCAAGTGCAGGCTCAAATGTTTCTGTGCCAAGCTGCGTATTGCGATTTCATGGTGTATTGTCACATGGATCTAGTCATTTCTCGCATCTTGCCTGATACTGATTTCATTTCTGCTGCCATTTCTAAAGTCTCTGACTTTTTCAAACTGGCTTTGCTGCCAGAGTTAGTTGGCGAGTTCTTCAGCAAAGGCTTTGAAATCGCCGCAGGACATGCAGCATCAAGTGAACATGCAGGCCAGCACGTGCCTCAGACTGGGCATTGCTTCTCAGTGCAACCAAGTGAAAGATTCAGAGCCGGTGGTGACGTGTGCTGGCGTTGAGTGCTCTGTCAAGACATTCCATGTCGTCTGCTTGCGGATGAAGGGAATACCGAATCGCAAATGGTACTGCCCCACTTGCCGCAAACCAAGGAAGGCCGAGAAGGATGCCAGGAAAGCACACAAGAACGTTAACCCTGCATCTTGAATAATATTGCTCATGCCGAGCCGGGGTAACACTGAGAGTTATTTTCATATCACATTGTGATGTACTTATTTATGGTGCTGTGCACTGAACTGGAACTATGGCTTTATGACAATGTTATTTATTTAGCATTGGGTTAGCTATCTTGGCCATGTTGGTGTGCTTACATGTTTCTGTTGTATTGGTACTTGTTCCCTTGGCCTTTGTGTCTTGCATAAAGAGTTAGCGTGTGCATGCTTAGCTGTGTGTCTGACTCATGAGTCATGCTGATGCTTGCGAGCTGTATGCTACTGTACGTGCTGTGTGCGGATCATTCTGCTGCTGGTTCTACATATGACGTCTTTATTTCTTTAGTACAGCCATAGTACTTGCTGCTTTGTCCAACTGTCTTATGCATGTTTCCTGTGAC